CTGGGTGTTATGCACAAACAATGAATCATGGAACACTTCATCTAGAACTAATGATGTAATGTATGGGGATTAACATAAGAATAAAAAAAAACACTAATTCAAAGGGATACACGCAAAAAAAAAAAATTAAATATTAAATATTCTAACTCTCCTCCCTGAATTGTTTTCTTAAAAAGTAATATTTCTTTAAGGTTAAAAAAAAAAAAGAAGACAAGTCTTGTATCTTTATCATATGTTTCTTTGTTCAAGGAAGGAGTCAGTGAAGCAACTGGAAATGCAATACAAAGTATCCCAAGTTGTCTTTACAAGCCAAACATTTCAGGATAAAGAAAACTACAGTCTGAGAGTCAAACTGGAGCTCAGAAATTCTTACAGTATCAATTTGGATACCAGAGTAGAGGAAATTAACCCAAAAAACTAGATGAAGAAATTTTAAAAAACTGATGAAAAAATTAAATTAAATGTATTTATAAAATTATAAATAAAATAATTATAAATAAAAATTTTAAATAAAAATCTAGATAAAGGCAATGTTGGAGCCGGATCTCAGTGGCTTTGGAAGGTCAACTGTGCATCACTTTCTCCAACTCCACAGTAATCTTATCTGCCCCACCAGTGACCTGAGAATCATTGGTTAAATCTGCCAGTATAGCCCCAGATAAAGGTGACTTTAGGATACATTTAAAGTTCAAAAAATACAACCAGAGGATCAAGAATCTGTGGTATGTTAGACAATTTTATGTAAATGCAACAATGTTTGGGGAACAACTTTAAAGCAGAGGGCATCTTCTAACAAGAAGTTTTCTCTGAGGTTGCTCTGTAAATGGGTCAAATAGAGTTTTTACAGTCAGATCTTGGATAAGCCTGCTATTACTTTTTTAGATTTCCCTTATACACGTCGAAATTAAATTACTACTGGGAAGGAAGGGCATAAGTTATCATTCATGATATGGAGAATGGATGTTTTTCAAATATTAATACTTATTATTGTATATTCCCACATTTGTTATTTGCTATACCTGCCCAAACTCTTTTAAATTAATAACACAAAAATGTAGCAAAGAGAAAGGAATCTTCTGATGTTATACAAAAGCATAGAAAAAACATTTAATAAATTCACGCTGCCTGGCCCACATAGAGCAGTGACCCATTAAATAATAGCAGGATGAATGAATTAACAATTATAGTCAGGAGTGATTTTCAAAAGTACAATAACAACAACTCTTTTGGGGCACCTGGGTGGCTCAGTTGTTAAGCATCTGCCTTTGGCTCAGATCATAATCCCAGGGCCCTGGGATCGAGCCCCACATTGGGCTCCCTGATCGGCGGAAAGCCTGCTTTTCCCTTCTCCCACTCCCCCTGCTTGTGTTCCCTCTCTCGCTGTGTCTCTCTCTGTCAAATAAATAAAATCTAAAAAAAAAAAACAAAACCAAAACCAAAAAGAAACACAACTCTTTCACTTACCCAATTCAATACAGGTGATTCCAAGTGACCAAATATCAACTTTCCCATCATACTGTCCTTCGTCCATAGCTAAGATCACCTCTGGAGCCATCCTGCCAAATGTAATGTACAAAATTTGAGTTGCAAATTAAAAACAAAATTCATCTAATGAAGTGATTTGGTGAAATAGCTGTTTGAGCACAGTCTAAAATTTTGTCTAGTAAAGATATTATTTCCTTATACAAGTCATTTGGAAAAACACTGTTCAAAACATAAACATTATACTCAAGGATTTACAGGAAATAACACATTATTTTCAATAAATCCTGGTTCCACCATTATCTATCAGTTTTACCGCGGCTAAATTACTTAACCTCTCTGTATATCAGTTTTCCCATCTGTAATGTGGAGAGAATTCTAGTAGCTACCTCAGAAAGATTTGTAAAGGATTGATATGTAGGAAATACTTAAACAAATAACTATAGACAACATAGAAAATACTTATGGAACTATTTAAAACAATATAATCAGATATTTCAAAGATATTGCAACTCAAAAAATAAACAAACAGGCTATGATAATGGATATTGTTTGTCCAGAATGGATTTCCATAGGAGGGCAGGGGTCTTATCAGTTTAATATGTTTTTTTTTTTTCTGTTACTATATGTAAGTGCCTGCTTAGTAAATGCTACTTGATGATCATTGACAGAAAGGAAATTCAAATAGTAGCTAATTTTTTTAGTAGGTAAGTAATTATCCAGGGATATAAGTCATTGTCCAAGATACAATGAAATTCTAGTTTATCTATGAAAGGAAGGAAAGGCATCTTGAATAGATGGGGTGAAATTTTCAGTCAGAGTGACAAACTAAGAAAAGTCTCAAAAAAAGAACTCAACAAAAAAAAGAAACCGGATTTCTTTCACTGAAAGGTAATATTTATGCTTGTTGACTAGAGAAGGTTAAAGAAACTACTTTGTCCTTGCCTAGAGATTCTGCTTCAAGAGAAAGTTTCAAAAGAAACTTCAAATGAAATCTAAAACCTGAGCTTGGTCAGTGAGTTGATAATCCTGCTCAGTTTACACACAGTGACATCAACCTTATTTGAACAATTTAAAGTCTCTGGAAATTTTATACTAAGTCAGAGTGTTTCTTTTTTTTGCCAGTGAGTTTTCTATCCTTTAATGAAATCTCATTTGAGGCACATGGTGAGACACTGTCAAAAAACAAAACAAAAGCAATGCTTTGAGCCCATCTTGTTCATGTATGTATATTTTAAAATTCTAGTTTTTAAATTCTACATACCAGTAAGGTGTGCCCACAAAGGAGTTGGCAGGAGAAGCCATTGAGGCAGATCCAAAATCAGCTAGTTTCACCTGACCTGGCTCTGTTAGAAGAATATTTCCTGCTTTAATATCCCTATAGGAAAAAATAAGAGGGTTAGAAAATTACTTTTCAACTTTGATTATGGAATAGGTCAGAGCATGCAATTAATAAGACAAAAAGTTTATTAAAAAAAACCTTGCTCAGATAGCCAGAAGGGGATTTAGTAATTACCGCATGTTATACGGGGGCCCAGATTCCTGGATGTACTTACAGGTAGGTCAAAGTAATTACTAAAAGGTAGAGCTTTATTTAGAGGGAAGGAATGCAGTGAGAAAAAAGGCAGACAGACGTGGCAGACAAGGAAACCTTTTCCATCGCTACACTTAAAAAAGCATATTCTCAGATGCTAAATCCAGTCATCAACAGTATCCCTTCTGCTGGGAAAATTGGTGCCATTTGTAACTGCCTCTTTTTTTTCTTTTCCAAATTACATAACATTTTTGGAGTCTAAATAAACCTTCAATAACTGTATTATCTACCTACCAATAAACCTCAACTACACACATACCTTTTCTTTCTTGCCTGTGACCCTTTCTCTCTGCCTTAATTGTAACTGCAACTCTAAGGCATTTGAGGGTACATGTTATATGGAAGGTGTTATTTTAAAAATAACACTGTACAGTAAAAAGAAGACCCTGAAAGATCAAAACAAACAAGGATTAGGGATTAGGAAATTGCATTTCTATTGTATTACTACAAAGAATCGCAAGCTGTTACTACTAAAGCTATTAGATATTTTATGCAGCAGAAAAGTTTTCAAAATATTATTTTAAAATATTCATTGTTGAGGATGATAATTTAGAATGAAAAGACATGGGTGTACTCTTGATTCTCTTCAAAAAAAGCATGAGGTGTAATGAGTACCAGGAACCAAGACTTATAAATTGGTGGGCCGTGGAAAGACAAAGCAGAGAGAATGAGGAAAACGGAAGCTGAAAATGAGAAGGTTCAAATGTTTCCAAAACAATGTCTCCAAAAATTTTCTCTTGAAAATTCAGTTTCTTTACTCAAGATGACATTAGGCATTGGCAGAGAGAACTAAAAAAAACACTTATTTATCTAACAAAAGAAAAATACCTCTTCTCTATTACCTTCAATTAGAACACTGACTTGTCAAATCAAAATAATAAATCTGAGACACGGTTTTTATTTTTAAATAGGGAGCACACTTTATTATTTTTTTAAGATTTTATTTATTTATTTGACAGAGACAGAGATAGGGAGAGCAGGAACACAAGCAGGAGGAGTGGGAGAGGGAGAAGCAGGCTTCCCGCGGAGCAGAGAGCCTGATGTGGGGCTCGATCCCAGGACCCTGGGATCATGATCTGAGCTGAAGGCAGACGCCCAACGACTAAGCCACCCAGGCGCCCCGGGGAGCACACTTTAAAAGCTTTGTTTTTTCAACTTCTTTTATATACTAAAGAAGATAAAGTATAATATAGAATATAAAACATTAAATCAATATGCAGATTTTGTTAACAAAGGCACAAAAAAATGAACCATGGCTTTAAACAGGAACCAGAAAAATCATATATAAACAAGTTGGCATTTGGTAATGACATTTTGGTAACAAAAAAACGTACTATAAAAATTTTTTTTGTCAAACCCATAGACACTATGGTTAAATCCATTTTATCAGCATTTATTAGATATGGTTAAGTTCATTCTTTGTCTTTATTATACATAAGCCAAATTCACGGCAGGAATTTTGGTCTGCCTATTTTGAGGAAGTTCTGCCTTTGCTGTACCAGTAACTGATAATGGCTACTCTGGGGTGATTAAAACAGAAGCAAAAGGGGAACCTATGATGTAATAGTTTCATTTCTTCCTAGTAAATGTCAAAGTTTTTTCTTTTGTTTTTGAGCCATTGGATCCTTTATATCTACCCCATATTCCACCACTTCTGCCACCATTCATTAAAGTAACTGTACTAGCAGTTCTTTACTGAGAGAAGGAAAGATTAGGAGAACATCTTTATTTAGGAGAAGTTAGTAGGAGGAAGTAGACTGGAGGGAGGACAATGGAGTTGTGGTAGAGAAAATAAAAGGTAGGGGAAAGCCTTGGATTAGGAGTTAGGAAATCTGAGCTTCAATCTTTATTATGTAAAACCTGTGAAACTGTGGGTAATTATTTTAATCTTTCAGAGTCTCAGTTTCTTCAGCTGCCAAGATAAATACAATAATATCTTCCTAAATATCTATGTGGACTATAGAAAAGCACAATATTTTAAAGTTATGAAATAGCACGTATTTATATAATATTGACTTGTTATTTGCAACAGGAAAAGGAGAAGAAACTCAGCTAGGAAATAAATATATGGAAGGAAGGCTAATTTTCTTTTCTTCTTGGCATTGTATCAAAAGGCTGCTGGGCCCTTCCTCAAATTTTCCTGCAACATCCTGCCTTGGAGAACAGTTACCTATAGAACAGAGGTGATGCAAGTCTTTGTGAACATCTGGGACAGACCAAGAGACAGAAGCTAAATTCTGACAACTTTCCTTCTTACATCCAGCAGCAGCAGCAATCTCTTTGCTTCCTATAAATCCACAGGCACCCTAAAAAGTGGAGCAGGCACTAACTTTCAAGATTCCTTGGATAGTCCTGTAACTGACATGTAACTGGTCTCCAGTCTTACCTATGAATCAGTGCATGAGAATGCAGGTAGGCCAGCCCCTGCAAGGCACCGTGAGTAATGGCAGCGATTTCCACTTCTTGAAGTGGTTTTTTGTGAACTGAGGAAGGAAAAGAAAAATTCAGAAGTAGTAATCAGTTGCATTCTTCTTAAAATCTTACACAGTTATACCAAACTGAATTACATACTCTCAAATGACAATTTGGGAACACATCCACCATATTTCCTATAGAATTGCAATAAATAATCAGATAAAAGGAAACTCAAGTACAAAAACAAACAAACAAACTCCTTAAAACAAAATAAAACAAAGCCTGATATTCACTGTAATGAGTTGTTAATTGACCTGTCAGTTGCAAGTCAAAGCCACCACTGATTCCAATTGGCCAGGCCCAAATTTACCAGTCCTTTCTGACATTTTAAATGCCTAGAATGTTTTAGGTTGTATTATTCTCCTCTCCACAGAGCATCTATAATTACCTCTTCTAACTACAGGTTTTCATTATTTGTGAAAGCAGCTAATAAGCAATTTCTATTCAGAGATCAAGGGTGATATAAAAAAGTTTTTTTTTTAATGTAAATTTTTAACCCAGTCTCTGATTATAATAGTATTTGCAGAAGAGAACTGGGTCAAGTCAAGATATTTGAAGGAGTTAAATATCAATATAATTTGATACCATCTACCTCTCTTTCATATATACATATGCATTTGACGTTTTTGGGTACATACATCATATTAGCCGAACATTTTAGTAAGTACCTGCCCTGGATGGGCCATGCACTGAACAGCAGGAGGGCTGTTAATCATTCCCGAGACACTTTGAGCCACTGCAGAGATAAAGTTTGCACAGCTCATCCACACAACCCTTAGGTATGAGTCAGCATCCATTTGCTTTGCCCAAATTGCACTTTAATATAGGAGTAGATACTATTCTGGTCAAGGCAGAACATAAAGGAGGGGGATAGTGCTTTTATTCTTACCTTCTAACAAATCAGAGGCTGAGCCTAAGCAATATTCCATCACCAACTGTAATAGATTAAAATAATAACCAGAATAATGACAGTTAATAAGAAACTGCTAAAACCAACTTAAGTAACCAAGGAACTAAGAATGCTAGGAGAGTAAGTATTCTTTTTTTTAATGATTTTCTTTATTTATTTGAGAGAGCGAGAGAGAGAGAGAGCATGCGCGAGTGAGAAAGAGAACATGAGCAGGGTGGAGGGACAGAGGGAGAGGGAGAAGCAGACTCTGCAGAGCAGGGAGCCCGATGCAGGACTCAATCCCAGTACCCCGGGATCATGACGTGAGCCGAAGGCAGATGCTTCACCAAGTGAGCCACCCAGGTGCCCTGAGAGTAAGTATTCTGACCTACTTGACCTGGATTAAATTTTGGTCATCTGACACTAATTGATTTTTTATAACTTTTATCATATGGTTTTATTTCCTCCTTGGAACTGGAATGTTCTAAGACTATAAGGGCAGGGAGCCTGATGTGGGACTCAAACCCAGGACTCTGGGATCATGACCTGAGCTGAAGGCAGATGCTTAACCAACTGAGCCACCCAGGCGTCCCATATATTATATTATTATGTATAACAGAGTTATATATTCACATCTAAACTATTAAATTCATTATATATTTATATATGTAATTAAATATATAACTATATATGTTAAAATTATTCCATTACCAGAATAATTTAAAACATAAGAAACACAGAAGTTTAAAGTTTTGAAATTTTATTATAGTTTTCTGCTTGACATTAAAATAAGCAAATTCAGAAACATTAATTTTATTTACGTATTAATAGAAGTATAATTGACATATAATATTATGTTGATTTCAGGTATACTTCATAGTGATTCAACAATTATCCATTATGAAATGCTCACCACCCTAAGCGTAGTTACCATCTGTCACCATATGAAGTTATTACAGTATTACTGACTATATCCCTATGCTGTACTTTTCATCTTTGTTATTTTATAACTGGAAGTTTGCACCTCTTAATTCCCTTTACCTATTTCACCCATTCCCCTACCCCTGTCCCATCTGGCAACTAACAGTTTGTTCTATGTGTTTATGAGTCTGTTCCTGGTTTTTTGTTTGTTCATTTGTTTTTTTTGGATTCCACATGTAAGTGAAATCATATGGTATTTGTCTTTCTCTGTCCAACTTATTTCACTTAGCATAATACCCTCTAGGTCAATCCATGTTGTCGCAAATGACAAAATTTCATTCTTTTTTATGGCTGAGTAATATTACATTGTATATGTACACCACATCTTTATCCATTCATCTATCAGTATCACTGAGGCTGCTTCCATACTTTGACTATTATAAATATGTTGCAATAAACAAAGGGGTACATATATCTTTTCAAATGTGCACTTTTGTTTCCTTTGGGTAAATACCAAGTAGTGGAATTACTAGATTGTATGGTATTTCTATTCTTAATTTTTTGAGGAAACTCCATACAGTGGCTGCACCAATTTACATTCCCACCAACAATGCACAAGGATTCCCTTTTCTCCACATCCTTGCCAACAGTTGTTTTTTCTTGTCTTTTTGGTACTAGACATTCTAACTGGTGTGACGTATAATTTTATTTCTTATTGTGAAATGAGAGATTCCACATTAAATCAATACCATAATAAACATTAGCCTTTTATGTGCACTATTTTTTCCGCTTTATTGAGGTATAATTGACAAATACTCCTTCTTTATTTTTTTTTTTAAAGATTTATTTATTTATTTGACAGAGAGAGAGACAGCAAGAGAGGGAACACAAGCAGTGAAGTGGGAGAGGGAGAAGCAGGCTTCCCACGGAGCAGGGAGCCTGATGCGGGGCTCGATCCCAGGACGCTGGGATCATGATCTGAGCCAAAGGCAGACACTTAACGACTGAGCCACCCAGGCATCCCAATTTACTTAGTTGTTTAAGAAATGTTTCCATCAAAATTGGTTAAAGAAGGAGTGTTTGGGGCGCTGGGTGGCTCAGTCATTAAGCGTCTGCCTTTGGCTCAGATCATGATCCCAGCGTCCTGGGATCGAGCCCCGCATCGGGTTCCTTGCTCAGCAGGGAGCCTGCTTCTTCCTCTGCCTGCCACTCCCCCTGCTTGTGAGCTCTCTCTCTCTGGCAAGGAAATAAATAAAATCATAAAAAAAAAACTAAGTAAATTAATATGCACATATAACTTCCTTTAACTGAGTATATGGAATATGAACACAGAACTTTAAAACCAAATGGAGAGAATATGGTTCTAGGACAGTTATGGTTATATTTTTAAAATTTTTATGTTAATGTATATTTTGATCATTTTATCTTTTCCCTATTATTCCATAACACAAGGACACCTGAGCTGTGGCTAGTTGTTTGCTCCTGACATTAACAGCTCTAGTTGCTCTACCTTTTTTTTTTTTTAAATAGAGTTATTTATTTACTTGAGACAGAGAGAGACTGAGCCAACGTGGGGGGAGGAGGGCAGAGGGAGAGAGAAACTCAAGCCTCCATGCGTAAAATCCCTTTCTTGACTCATTTAAGATGGCTGAGATTGCCAGAGAACTGATGTCCAGATAATGAAATACTCCTCTGATTAATTTCTTCTGCTCAGAACAGAAGCAACGACTCTATATATCTTAAAAGCTGCTTGAAAAGAACTGTTTATGTTTAAGTATATTGTTTGATAGTCCATCTGGGAACAAAAATTCCATTCCCTAACTGGAGATCACTTGTACATGGTAACTTCTCAATAAATGAATCTCAATAAATGACAGTTAGATTGGACTCTAAATTGGAACGTAAGGTCTGATAAAGTACAAAGTATATAGCATTTTCATGTACTAAACAGTAGCTAACCTAAACACAGAAACACAATCATGTAAAAATATACTAAAAAGATAGAGTAGAACAAAAGACTTTTTTGAGGTAGGACTGGGGGCAGAGGGAGAGGAAGAGAGAGAATCCCAAGCAGGCTCCATACCCAGCAAAGAGTACGACATAGGGCTCAATCTCACAACCCTGAAATCATGACCTGAGCTGAAATCAAGAGTCAGACACTAACCCAACTGAGCCACCCAGACACCCAAGACTGTTTCATTTTAATCACATGCTAGGCCCTGTCTGATAAAACGTAGACCACGATGGTAATACTAAGCATAATCCCGAATTTTGGGGGAATTTGAGTGGGGGATGAGAAATTACAACAGTAAAAATTCTAGGATGAGAATAAAAGGATCTGCCTTTTACTTTTGCAAATAAATCATAAAATGGTACTAACTTTTCACTATCTGTTAATTGTTTATAGAATAAAATTTCCCATAGGCTAGATATCATATTTAATCTTATAGAATGTATACCATATGGCACACTCTGAGGTATTAACAAATGTTAAATACTGATAACAAAAGTCAAATGGGTCAGAAATGGGACTGATAATTTTACAGATCAAAGAGATAACAGAGGGGAGCCTGGGTGGCTCAGGACATGACCCCAGGGTCCTGGGATCGAGCCCCGCATCAGGCTCCCTGCTCGGCGGAAAGCCTGCTTCTCCCTCTCCCACTCCCCTTGCTTGTGTTCCTGCTCTTGCTAGCTCTCTCTCTGTCAAATAAATAAATAAAATCTTTAAAAAAATAAAATTAAATAAAAAAAACAAAGAGATAACAGAAAAAAGAGAAAAAAAATTTAATTGGAAATAAATGATAATACAGGTCCTTTGACTTACCCAAGCAGTGTGCTCTTTCAAGTAGCAACCTTTATACTCAATGGTATTAGGATGCTTTAATTGTCGTAGAAATTTGACTTCCTTGAGAATATCTTGCCATTTCTATTGAAGTAATAAAGAAAATGGTATAATTTTTTAGGCTGGAAATAGTATTTTACTATCAAGTATACCTATATAGTATTCTTTTCATTATTTTAAATGGACAAAGTAAAAGTTTAATAAATGAAGAAGCCGTTTAAACTTGTGTTATTTCTTTAATTTTAGTACATGTAAATGTAAATCTATGATATATGATAAAATATATGATAAATCTATTATACTAACTTATGTTCTATTCCACAAATTAGTTGATTGAGGTAGAATATTAAGAATATTTATTATATACACCACAAAAAGGAATAAAAAAAGAACTATGATAAATGTTTAAAGAACTTTGTTTCTACCATCAATTTCATACTAACTGGTTTATGTCAGTTTAGGTATACAACTGTCTTTAACATACCTCATGTGTCTGCTTCCCACTGTAGGACATTTTCTTAACTGCCACCACCTCATTGGTGTGAGCATTTGTGGCCTGTGTTGAGACAGCAGAAGAAAAAATAAATAAAAGAGAATGATGTTTCAGCCACTTTAACTTAAATATTCGACTAGAGACTTTAAATAACATTCTCACACTTTACTATCATAGTTTAAAGATGCTGCAACTTCTGATAGGCTAGATAGACATTTCCCCCCCCACTGTAAAGTACAGCTTCTTTAGATCCCTATCCATATACATGCAAAGACCATAATATTAAAAAGGATTAGGGTTTAAAAATTATATATACAATCAAACAAAAACAAGTCAAATTTCCAAAACATCCATACTGGCTTCACCATATAAAATGTCCATCGATGGAGAACCAGTTAGATAATGTGGTACAATCACATGATGAAATAAACAGTAAAAGTATGAGATAATATATATGAATATACAGAAATATGGAAAGATGTAAAAAAACAAGCTGCATATTATCTTACTTTTGCAAAATAATATTAGTGTGAGTGTATGTATAGAAAGAATATGAGAGAATTTATACCAGAATATATATCAGTGATAATCCCTGGAGCAGTGTTGTCCAACAGAACTTTCTGTCTTGATGGAAATGCTTTATATCTACATTGTATATGATAGCATGTGAAATGTGGCTACAGTGACTGAGGAAATGGAGTTTACATTTTAATTAATTTAAATCTAAATTGTGGCTACTGTATTGAACAATGCAGAAGGTAAGATTAATTTTAAGAAGGACTTTCACTTCCAAGGGGACTTATGTTTTATAGTAAGAATGTATTACATATATACTTACAAACGTGTGTGTGTCTTCATCTATAAAGACTGCCTTGTCTCATAATTATCTCTATATAGCGTTTCCATACCCCAAATACAATTCAGTGAAAGCACACATGAAAATAACAAATAACTCAAGTAATAGTCTTCCTCCAGATTTTCTTAAGAGATCTAAAACTAGATAATTTTCTAAAAATTTTTGGAAAAATAAATAGAAGACATTAAAAGATTATCTAATTTTGGCTTCTTCTAATAACAGAGCTCTGCATCAGTGCCGTACTCCTGATGGCAGTAAGCTATTTTGATTCTATGATATTATTATTGTAAACCAGTAAAGCTATAGCAGTGGTTCTGAGGTAAAAGATTGGAATTCACTCACTGATAAAATCAGGTCACCAATTTTAGAGAAAAATGTAGAATCACGTTCTTAAAAACACTTAAAGAAGCTCCTCAGATAAAACAGTGAATTTCTTTCTAATTAAAAAAATTTTTTAATTTTTTTCTAATTAAAAAATTTTTAAGTTAAAAAATGAACAATTTATTGATATAAAAATTCAGCCAGAGTCTTACTGAATGACAAAATGCTGAACAAATGAACACTGAAAAAAAATTTTTTTAAATTATTTTTTAAAGATTTTTATTTATTTATTGAGAGAGATAATGATAGAGAGCATGAGAGGGGGGACAGTCAGAGGGAGAAGTAGACTCCCCACTGTGCAGGGAGCCCGATGCGGGAATCGATCCCGGGACTCCAGGATCATGACCTGAGCCGAAGGCAGTCGCTTAAACAACTGACCCACCCAGGCGCCCTTTTATTTTTTTTTAAAGATTTTTATTTATGAAAAAAAAAATTTTTTTTATAATCACTAAAGAAAGGCAAAAGTACCTATTATAAAAATAAGGTATCCCACTAGTCAGAGTTTTCACATCAGCAGGCCTCTACAAAGGCATTTTTTAGATATTTTGTTCATTTAGAAGGTACAGATGGACTTTTGTTAAAAATAAAAATCTCTCATTTTGCTGGCTTTTAAAATTTAACTCTAAGACTGCTTATATGACAGCAACAAAGACAAGTTGATGTGAATTCAGTATTATAATAAAGGTTAGAGTGATTGTATCTGAAAAGCGGATATTTTGGGGGTGAATCTATGTATTGTGCAGGTTAAACAGACTGGGAAAGGTTTAGGAAATGCTCAAGCAATGAGGAATTTTAACTTGTAATGGTATTTTTTAAAAAACAAATCCTTAACCTTCATAAAAAGAAAAAAAAAAGACCCACACAAATGGAATCAGATGGCATTGTCTAATTGCTTATTAAGGTTATTTATAATCAATGCTTATTTTGAAACAGAGACTTGAAAAAAGTTACCCTAGGATAAAAATATATTTCTTGGGGCACTTAGGTGGTTCAGTTAAGTGTCCGATTCTTGATTTCGGGTCAGGTCATGATCTCAGAGTCTTGAGATCGAGCCTGTGTCTTGCTCTGTGCTCAGCAGGGAGTCTGCTTGAGATTCTCTCTCTCCCTCTTCCTCTGCCCCTCCCCCCGCACATGCTCTCTCTCTCTCTAAAAACAAATAAATCTTCAAAAACTTTATATATAATAAATGTAATATATGTATGTTTCTTTACATTTACAGAGTAATCATTACTTAGGACTTGGTAAGTATATTTCCTTACAAAACCTGCCTACGGGAGCACAGACTCAATATTTGAAAAACATTTTCACGATGATTTTTCTTAGATGTGAAAATTTTTTTTTAAGATTTTATTTATTTATTTGAGAGAGAGAGAATGAGAGACAGAGAGCATGAGAGGGAGGAGGGTCAGAGGGAGAAGCAG